CTCTCCTCTCTCTGTCTCTGTCTCTCTCTCTCTCTCTCTCTCTCTCTCTCTCTCTCTCTCTCTCTCTCTCCTCCTCACCTTAGGTAGCTACTCCTGAGGGCAGATTGGATCTTAAGCCAAGAGGTGCAGCCCCAGAGCAGCAGCTCGCCATAGGTTTTCTCAGAGCTGCAGCAGGAGAACTTTGGGACACATGAGCCCTGGGGGCAGGAAGTGACACCCACTCTCACGCATGGACCGGGGGAGGAAGGGTACAGAGTCCAATCTGTTGGAGGACTGCAGAGGAGGCTACACGGAGGCTGCCAACAGTCTGCCCAGGGGCTGCAGGACCAGAGAACTATGCCCATTCCCGAGCTTCATGGAAGCCAGGAGGAGGAGGAGCAGTGTGTACCTGCTTGCACTCTCTGGGAACAAGTGAGGGCAGCCAGAGCTGCCTCACAGAGTATCAGAGAGGAAAGAGCTCTTTGAGATCTCCCATTTTATGCACAAGAAAACGGAGGCCAGAAACAGGGGGCATCACGCTGCTAAGAGGGACTGCGAACGCACATTCCCAAAGGATTGGAGGACACCTTGGTGAATCCCTTTCCTTACAGAGGAGGAAAGCTGCAGTCTATCGGGCAGGAGTCAGGCTGATCTTCCCGGGGTGGCAACACTGCTGTACTTATGTTGTGCTTTTCCTGTGCACCAGACCGTGCCAGTGTGAAGGGAAAGATCTGCTGAAAAGCTGCGGAGGCTCTGGGATTGGGGAGCAGCGGGTGAGCACCGAGGCCGCCCATCTTCCGGCGAGAAGGAACGCTGAGGCAGCAGTCGCTGGCTACCCCGTCGGGTTGGGAGGCATCTGCCGTTTCCCTTGCTGCTCAGAGCAGGACCGAGGTGGGAGGCTTATTTATTTCTGTGCTTTTATTTACTCATCTTTTATTCATTCACATCCTGTCAGTGTATATTGTTTACATTATAAATCATATGTATTCCCACACTTCCTCTTAAGGAAAAAGCCCAAGAATACAGATTGTTCTGAGGCTGTGAAAATGATAGTGGTGGCAGTGGCACTATGTCTCCATCTTCCCTTGCGCCTCCCAAGGGGCAGCACATAGCCCTGATTGTGCCAAACTGAAGGCTGACACCACCTAGACGGCCAGCACTCACTCTGTGTAGTGTATGCACCTGACTTTCAATGGATTGAACCTGAGAAGGAAGAGGAATGACAGAGACTGAGGCCCTGCAGGGGAGCTCGAGGATGACATTGTCCCCGTATTCTCTTCCTGAGCTGAGCGGCCAGGGCTGTGTTGGGACACAGGCTGCCTGAAATTGTTTGAGCTGCACTCAAGCTAGTCTGTAGGAAAGCCTTGAGCAAAGAACCCTAAAGACAGACTGCAGCCACTAAGACCACAGAGTAGTGATGGGGACCCCTCCGGAGCTTTCAGGGATACAAGCAGCCCATTGCAGCAGGTGCGCTGTGGGTTTCCCACCACGGCCACAGGAGGAGAAGAAATGGGTTTGTGAAAGACAGGTGGAACCAGATATTGACAACCTGGTGTGGCACAGCATTTAAACAGAAGCAAGTCAGGAACAAATGCAGAAGGTTCTGAAGGGGGCTGGCCGGCAGTCACCATCTGTATTGTACAGACCACTTCAGAGGGGTTCAAAGGCCTGAAGTTCAGACCGGAGTGGGACTTCAGAACTGGGGTGAGCAGACACCACCTGCAGCAGTGGGAATGAGCAAAGTGGGAATGCTGCACGTATCTCTAAAGAAGGGAAACCCCCAAACATGATTTTCTTGCATAACAAAATCTTTGGATACATCTAAAGCTGCACTCACAGGCAGAGTCAGCCTCAAACACATGGTTAGAAAAGGTAAACAGCTAATACCCGGCACCACAGGCAGCTTCCAAAATCACGGTGGCCCTAACAGTAAAGTTAACTCTTGTTCATGTTCCGTGCCTGTCTCAGCCAGGACTCAGGCCGGAGGAAGATCATCCACCTGGTATCTGTAGCATCTAGAACACAAGGCCTACAAGACTGTGGTGAAAGGGAAGAGAGAAAAGGGAGAAAACATTCTGTTTCTGAACTGTTTAAATACAAACAAAGCATGCATCACTTTCGCTCACAGTAATTGGCTAAAGCCAGCCATGTAGTCAGAAACAAACTCCAAAGGGTGCTGTCACGTGTAGGACCAATGCATATTCATCCAGTGAGCCCTGCCCCAGCAGCACAGTAAACATCAGGAAAGAAGCAGTGAAAGTAATTGATTTTCAAGAAACTGAGGGAAAAATCAAAATCGTCTTAAGGCAAGCAATAAGAAGATATAAATTCACTCAGAACACTATTAATTGCCCAATTAATGAAAAGGCTAAAATAGTTAATGTGAGCAAAAAAAAAAGTAAAAAGAAAAAAGTACTCATTTATCTTTGCATAGCTGTCTCGGTTTCATAAGAGAAACAAGCCAACAAAGACTACTGAAAATATAACAAATACAAAATAATTACTATTTCAAAAAATATTGAAAGCAAGGCTATCAAAAGCTTTCTGCTACTTATTAGTTTGGCACCAATTTATTTCCGCCTTTTTGTTTTGGTCAGAGAGTATTGAGAAATGCAGTGGAAATGGCAAAATATTTTAAGTTCATCTTGCAAATCTCAAGATAATCTTCAATTAACCTTTTTCAGAAGCTTCAAAGAGAACAGTAGAAAACTAGTTTTTCCCCAATAAAACATCACTAAAATTATATAACCGCCTGCATTTCTTATCACAATAAAGTGCCATAAATGAGGGACACAAAACTTATAATAACCTTTTATGAACACATTTATATAAAATCCAAATATATTCATAGAGATGGCAAAATAGCCTTTAGTCCAAAGGTCTATTTTTAAAGAGTGAGTCAATCTGACAGTACTAGTTAACACATCAGTGTGCATTCAAATTTAATATATCCTTCAGTCAAGCATGTGTTTTTATCTCAAAATATATTTGAAAATAAAAGTAAGAGCTTTGAGGGAATGGTGCAGGGCCAAAGTTTCTACAAAACACCATTAAAGAACCACTCAGCCACATACAGCTTGATAAATGCCATCAAAGCCAAACATGAGAATGTGGGTGATCAATCATTCAATGCGAACCTGTTCCTACTTCATTGGCCCAACCGGGCTTTTCACTTGCTCTGTAATATACAGGTAAACTTACTTGCATTCAGTGAGCTTTTTCAAAGCACTGTATCCATGGAATCTAGACACTGTCATCTTCGTTCATCCATCTAATGAATATTCACTGAAGTGTATCATGTGCCATGCACCATTCTGGGCACTAAGGAGGCAAATGTGACCAAAAGAGGTGTAAGTCCCTTTCCTCCTACGGCTCATACTCTAAACAGGCAATCATTGAAAGTGATAAGCTTTGGATGGCTTAGGCAAGTGCAATGGAAAAGTGGGGCAGGAGACGAGGGCGTGGCAACATGGCTGGGGTAATTGGGCATGAACCGTTAATCGCAGAGATTTGTTAACCACAGGTGCCGAGCAGCAGCTCCAGAGCCTGGCATATCTGTCACCAACCTTCTGACATGAGATTAAACTGAGCCCTGTACCTGTATCTTTTAGCACAAGATCAAGAGGGTTTTTGATGGGACAGCCTAAATGTAATGTCAGAAAGAAGATACAAAAGATGGCAGCCATTGACTTTGCTGCCACTGCCCTTTTGTTCTTGCCCATCTTGTGTGCAGGATTTATCTTCTCTTTTTGCCTTCAGGGTGCCTTTTCTCCTTGAGCACTTCTTTTGATCTTCTTTTTCTTCTTCTCTTTTGCCCTAACATAAGTGTTAAAATTTTACATTCTCCAATTGTTCCTACTAATACTTTGTAAGGGTCAGTAAGATCCGGGAAACCACTGCTGGTCACTACAATGACTGGAAACAAAAGGATAAAGCAGGGCAGGAGAATGAGTGTTGTGTTTGGTCAGGGAAGGCCTCACTCAAATATCAAAGGTGGTACTCGAGTAAGGACTTGCAGAAGGGGAAAGGCGGAGCCACGTTGGTATTTAGGGTCAGAGCAATCCAGGTGGAGGGCAGAAGCCCACTCAAATCATGAGTGAGAGCAAGGAGGTCAAGGTAGCTCAGCTGAAACACAGAGACTGGGAAGGAGATGAGCCGAGAGATGGAATGTTTAAGAACTCCCACTGCTTGGGGTCACCTAACCACATCAAAGCAGGATCTTGTCCTTCTCCGTGCCCCTTTCCATCAAGGACCTCTGACTTCCAGTGTTCTGGGGACAGCCTTTGTCTCAAGTGCATCTTTCGCATGGACACGGTGCTGCCTGCTCCTTTGCTTGTACCTGCTGCACCACAGCCCCTCACGGACAGTTTTTAGGCACCTTGGCAGCCAGGATTGGTATTACCCATTCATTCAGTGCCGCTGTCACTGCCCTCCTAAAAAGTTCTCTCCCTCATTCTTCGAACCATCACACAGCCCATGGTGTGTCACCACAGGCTTTCCTAAAGGTTTGAAAAGCATAAGAAGAAAACAGTGCAGGAGGAAAACTTGGATATCACTCTGCAGAAGCCACAGTCCATCAGCCATTTCCTTGTGTAAGGAGCTTCTTCCCGACTATTAGGTTCAGCTCCTCCACAAATCACAGGCCTTCAATACTGCCCTCTCTTTCGCAGTCCTTAGGCTATTAAATTCCTGTCTGTGGGTCATCAGAGTGGAAGCCCCAAATTTTAGTTTTTTATTTTACTTATTAGTTAGTTAATTATTTTGTGGTATGGGGATTGAAGCCAGGGCCTTTTTACTCAATTACATCCCTCCCCCATCCTCTTCTAAAGTTTCTTCTTTAAAGTTTTTATCTTGAGACAGGGCCTTGCTAATAAGTTACAAAGTTGCCTAGGCTGAACTCAAGCTGGTGATCTTCCTGCCTCAGCCTTCCAGTTGCTGGGATTATAGGTATGTACCATTATACCCAACTAGTCCTAAATTTTACAGCATAAAAGGTTCTCATTAAAAAAAAAAAAAAAAACAACTTTTGGCCAGGGATTTAGCTTAGCAGTTCGGTGGCCTGCCTTGCAAGCGCAAGGACCCAAGTTCATTCCCTAGTACCAAAAAAAAAAAAAAAAAAAAGCTTTTACCAGGGATTTAGCTCTGTGGTTCCACCGCCTGCCTCACAAGCACAAGGTTCCAAGTTCGATCCCTGGTACCAAAAAATAGAAAAATACTTTTATTTATTATGACAATCCCTTTCATCTTCTTTGCCTCAACCCCCGTTCAATCCAGATGTGCCTCCGGCATTGCCTGTGCATAACCAGAAGTTCCTTGAAAGTACTTCTCCTCTGCCTAGGTAAGTCTTCCTCCATCCCTAGAACACAAAAGCATCTGCTGGCAACTTCTCTCAAAATGGCAGCACTATGGTGCTCAATGCAGTGACTATGATGTGCTATGGAAAACATAAACCAGGGCTTCCTTCTTCACTATGCACAGGACTTCCTGGACTGGGAACTATTGACCCAGCAGTAGGTATGCATTCAGCCCAGCAGGGCCTCTTTAAGTACAGTGCACCTTAATGGGTTTTAATTTCTTTTCAAATCAGAAGGAAAAATGAATTTTTAAGTGAAAGAATGTCTTCATATAATATTAATATTTATCTTTATACTAATTATATCAGTTTTCTCATTGCTGGGGCAAAATACCCTACACTCACAACTTAAAGGAGGAGAGGTTTATTTTAGTTCACAGTTTCAAAGGTTTCCATCCATGGTTAGCTGGCTCCAAGGAAAAAACATCATGGCAGAAGGGCTTTGCAGAGCAAGGCTGCTCATTTCATGGAAGCCAGGAAGCAGAGCACAGAGGAAGAGCCAGATGCAAAGGAACCAGGGACCATACATAGTTCCCAA